TAAATAAATGGAGTGGTACCAGGGATGGGTTGGTCCTCTTGCCTCTTCCTCTGAAGCAGCAACTTATTTATTTGCTATCACTGAATTATTACTGTATACACATTTAGTTAACAGCTAGACACATTGCAGAAGGTAGGCTATTCCATCTCCTATGGGTAAAATCCACTGCCTAGGACATCTCCAAGCAGATTACATGCACCTGCTGCCAATATTCAAATCACCCTGCAAATTTGTCACTAACCTTAGAAGGGGAATGAATTTCTCTCACTTTGGTTTCTCACTCTAGAGGAGTTCTGGGCTGGGAACAAGCAACTGCTGGGCTAGTTCACCTCGGCTTCAGCATCCTGCTGCTCTAGGTTCACACGCTCCTGGGCAATTTTACTGAGCCCTCCCTAATGATCGCTCTCTTTCCCCAACAGCAGGGCAGGTCCATGACTCCCGCAGTCAAGTACAATGTGCGTGTGGGGGGCATCTGTCTGTCTTTTCGCTCTGGCAGACTCACACAGACGAGCAGTCCTAGAGCAGCACTTTCATCTGTTTCATGGTGGATACGCTGCCTTGGGACACTGTTTTTCTGTGGAACAGATGAGTGCCAGCAGCTGCAGGGCAAGTTTCCCCTCTGCCCGCCCCAACTAGCACACCTCCGCCCTGCCTGGGAGGGACCCGCGAGAAGGGAGATCCAGTTCCAGGCCTATTCAATCCTTGGCTTCTCTGCAGCAGGCTGACAAGGAAGGTGCCCATTTTGAGGGGGTTTTGGGGCTGAAGATGCTGGGGAAGAGCTGCTTGCCTAAGCCAGGGAGAGGAGGGATGCTCCCCTCTGCTTTTAGCAGAAAGGGGGGTTGTGCTTCCCCCCAGCTCCCTTAAATTGGCCTCTGAGGGGAATTGGACTGAAGCCACCAACTCCCTTCATGGGTCACTGAACAGCCATCAGAGGTCAACAACAGCCCATCACTGCCCACTTACCCGTCACCGCTCCCAGCCGGAGCCAAGCCTCCTAAGACTCCATGTATCCATTACCAATCCCCAACTCAACATCCAGAGTGGTGGGGGGTTTTTTTGTTTTTTTTTTTAAAAACACAGTTTAGCTTGGGATTTCTCCTAAGTTTTCAGACCCTGTTCATGAAGTATTCCTTTCTCTCCATTTATCACGGTCTCTTCATTTCAAAGAGACATAAACCTACTCGCAGTGCTGACCCAGCATCTCCTACCTATTCTGTGCAGTCTCTGATACCGTGTCCACCACTGTAGTATCAGAGCAGCGTACAGAGTTAACAAGGACCCAGAACCACCAAGGTACTTAGGCTTCATTCCGTTGAAGTCAATGAAAGTTAGGAGGCTAAATACCATTACAGCTCCTGGGCCAAGGAGACTGGCATCTATCACGTGAGGTTTCCTCTCCATTCCTCCCCTTCAGGGAAAGATTATGTCTAAGAGTTTTCACCTGAGACAGCCAACATCACTAGTCACTTTTGAAGTTTGGGAACAGTTGAACTACATGGAGTTCAGTTAGAGTTCCCCAGCCACTGGTGTTCAAGTTTCCATCCATCCCTCTGACACTGTCTCCTCTCTGGCAAAAATGCCCATCTTCACTGCCCACTTCTCCCGCACCAAGCCTGGTGCAGAAGGAAAAAATATTCCCCACCAAAATCGGTAGACCCACTACTTTATCCTTCCTCAAATTCTTCCTCTGCTGCAATGCCTGCAAACACCGCTAGCAGAGAATGCCTCAGCAAGCAGAGGCTACTGTTTATCAGCAAAATGTGGATGCTTTTGCAAAATATTTTGTCCCCCTTCCCCACTCCCGTTTGTCTGTTTTATACACCCATTTTGTCTTGTCATAAGTTGAGATAGTGATCTTTCTGAGGCAGGGATTGTCTTTTCATAACCCTGACTAGGCCCCATGGCACAATAATAAACATGTGCTCATAATGGCTACCAGACCCATAATTCCTTGCTCTGTTGGCAGGGTGTGTTGGGGTCCCTGAGCCTTCAGGGCTAAACTATTATCACATGGCCGTCATGTTGCGTAAAGGCAGGAAGAGCACTGACCACGGCTTGAATGAGGCGATATCAGGCTGGGGCTAGTTGGCATTATTCTTTATGTTGATACCTTGTCCAAAGACCAGGCCAAAGGTGGGGCGTGAGCGAAAAATCACAAGCAAGTTCTAAGGCGGAGAGAGAAGAAATGCTGCAGATGCTGAATCCCCACAGGATGCTGACTCTGGGGAACCTTGCCACCATCACCCACAGTGACTCAGTTGGCTACTTTCTGAAATCTCCCAGGCCCCTCCTTGTACTTTCCATATTCTGATGGTGAGTGGGTGTGACTCTTGAAGGAGCACTGCCTGTTTCTTTTTAATTAACCCACGAAGACAGATCATCAGCTGCAACGTTTTGCTAGATTTTGCATTTTATGCTTGGGACTCGTGCACTTCTGGGCCCTGCTCTGGAAAAACAAAATCAGTTAAGAGTGCTCACAGCCCACTTCAGAAAAGGAAAGGCCTTCCCACGAAGGAAGTTGCAATAATCCTACCATGCTTTCCCTACCTCTTCAGCACTCAAATACTGAACTGCTTTCACTCCTGCCAGATCCCAGTTCTCAGCAAAAGTCTCTCAGGCATCACAACGCTCAATCTGCAAACCCAGCACTTCTCATTTTTAATGACAGCCGAAAGACCATAGGCTTATACATCATCTTTCAAGCCAGGCAACTATCCAAGAAAATCTGATCTTCCCCCAACCACTTCCCAGCCCACATACAGCCTGACAAACACCAAATGGTTCAGTGTTTTGAGGAGACACTGTGGCGATTAGACTAACCTTAGCTTTCAAAAAGAGGGCCGTAATGATGACTGCATAGATGAAGAGGATCCCATCCAGTATGTAGCACAGTCTCGGGTCTGTCAGTCCTGGAACCGGTGCAGCATCTATACAGAAATACCAAGTACATTAATAAAAACAAGGTCATTTGCATTATAATATACAGGCTGGCGTGTATGTGGCAGTGCTGCCCTCTACTCAACAGAGCAACAGCCACTTCAGTGTGTGTGTGATTATGTACCCCCATAGTGGCTGGAGGCCTGCAAAAGGACATAAAAGCCCTAAGGCAACTGGCAGTAAAGGAAGACTCTCTTTTAGCGCAAGAGGCTGAAGAGGACTGTTATGAAGCAGAAAGTCCAAGTTCTATTCCCTGTGGAATGTGTGTGCAGTTTAGCTGGTGACTAGGATATCTGCATATCTATGGTCAAAGATCTACAATGCAGTTATTTGAAGAATGCCTGACATAAACAACTATTACCCATCAAGTCGGTCATTAGAATCCAATATTATCCCCTGCAGGGAGTCATGGCAACAAGAAGTTGTGACATAGAAATGCTGTTAAACCTTGGTGTTTATGTCCTGGGCCCAGTCATATGACATGATGAAGGTTACCTCCCGATCCCATCTTATGGCAGACAGCAGAATGCCCTGACTCCACTGGCACCTATTACAGTCATAACTACACCTGTTCAGAGAGAACTAAAAAGAGGAGCCAGAGCTGAGAAGTTCAGCTGTGGAGCCAACAGGTCAGGTCCAGAAGTTGGAGCAATCTTAGATCGAGGGTTCAGGTCCAGAACTATCTGTAGAGGAAAGGCTACAGTGTAATCTAAAAAGCAGAGAAAGATCACCTTTCCAGGAAATGGAGGAAGGTAACAACAGGTTATTTGAATTGCAGAATTAGAGGGAATTCAGAGAAGGGTAAAAAAGAAAGTATCAAGAGCACGGAAAACTCATATGAAGAGAGATTGAAAAGTCTGGGATTGTTCGCCTTAGGAAGGAGATGAATAAGAAGGGACAAGATAAAAGTATATAAAATAATAAATGGTGTAGAGAAGGTAGACAGGGACAGGGACGGCTCTAACTTTTTTGCTGCCCCAAGCAGCAAAAAAAAGCGCCGCCCCCCGAACCTCCCCGCCGAGCACCGCAGCCCGCCCCCCCCGCGTCGAGCGCCGCCGGAACCCCCCTCCAGCGCTGCGCCCACGCCACCCCCCCCGCTGAGCGCCGCAGCCCGCCCCCCGTGCCGAGCGCCGCCGGAACTCCCCCCAGAGTGCCGCCCGCCCGCCCCG